TGACAGCAGAGTTGACGGTCTAGTTGACGATAACAGAAATTGTCGTTAGTATAATAATAAAAATATAATAATAATAAATATGAACAAAAATATAGATAACACAGGTATATAACATAGAAATGATACGTATCTACAGGTAAGAATGTTGTCTTACCCGGAGCATATTGTTCATCAGCTGACCGCAGGGAGCGGCAACACGATTGGCAGGTCTGTCGGCTGGCGTTGCCAAGTCCTTGAGTACCCTCCACCCCATGCTTCCGCCAGTCGCATGGTCGTCACAAAGAACAGACTCTCCGCGATTAACGTTGATCCTAGGGTGCCATGGGTCACCGGCAGCACCAAAGGGCACAGCCAACTCGTCAGCGACTTCTGTCAGGATTTTGACATGAGGAATCTCGATAAAGTCACTGACGAGAGCCGGGACGAAAGCGTTCTTGCCTAGGCCGCCAGTGCGCCCCGAGATGATTGTTGTCTCCTTGCTTGGAGGCTTTTCAATGTTGGCCATATGGCCGGTTCTGACCTCGCTGCTGACCCCAAGACCTTTTGGATCTCTCAAGGTGACCGTCATCTTTTTCGCAGGATGGGGTCGGTCTCGCCCTCCAGGTCGACGACTCCTTCCGGCCAAGTCTCCTGTGCCTCCTAACGAAGAGGGACCGTATCGCCGTCGTGTTTTTTCTGCTTCTTCTGTGGCTCTCGGTCGGAGGGCTCAGAAGTCCTCTTAGACGCATTCCCGCCACCCCTTTTCACAGCTAGGGTGCGGGGTTTGGTAGTGCGTTCGGTAGGAGCCATATCTTGTTGTATTATTCTTTTTCTTTTCGACGCTCTGGTAGCGAAAGTGGGCAGGGTGTCGTATGAATTCTTTGGCCGATCCGGGCACTGTTGCTTCACTCTTCCGTCAGGATGCAACCCTAGTCGGCTGAAGTCAAGTTTGTCAATACCTAGCGGAAGAAAAACCGATAATAAACGTCAATCAACCGATATCGTAAAGGTAAAATTGGGCGTAAAAACAAGTGTAAGTAAAATACATGCAGGCAGGTACGAGAATAAGCAGGCAAAACACTTTTATAAATTAATTCCAAATCACGAGTACAGTAAAGATAAATATAAGCAAATGTATATAATTTATAAATGTTTCCATACCAAAAGCATCGGTATGGCAGAGACCGACATGAGAAAGAGGGGCGTTGCCCAGTATATAATTACAATGGGGCAACCACACCCCCAGAACAGCTTTATTCTTCTTACCAGCACTAACATATGTACAATTAAACCACTTAAAAGCTTTTTTCTCCATCGTTCCTAACGCTCTCGACCGTATGGTCTCGAACATGCTGTGTGGGTGATGAAATGTCCTACGGACGGTAAAATCGTCAGGCACACTCATAAAATAAAATTCATTCTTCCAGTTCTTGCAACTGGTCAATTTTGGCCACACTGTGCATTTACCGAGAGCGGTAAAAAGGGACCACCATCCGGGTGACTGGCTATCTCTCTTTATCCAGTGTAATCTCCTAAATAAGTTCAGGCTAAGGGGAAAGTCCATAAATATCATAACCTAGACAAGAGACACTATATTTCGGATGGTTGGAGGCGTTAACTGTGCAATTGAAACATTCCAAGCCCTGAATATTTTTTCGATATAATGATGGAGTGGAAACCGTAAACCAAATTCTAAATGTTTTGCGTACACAACAATGTGGCCGGCAGGGCAGTCCAAAGCCGTTTGACCTTCGCTTGGTAGTCTCAGTTCGTAGCCGTCAGGAAGACGGTAGAAGCGTTTGCCATGTTGGCAATAGTCTTTTTCGGTGGTTGTCTGCAACCATACCGGATCCACAACTGACTCAGTTATTTCATAGCTGTTGGGAATTTCTTGAGGTTCTAGATACTTCGGATCATCTTGATCTGAGTCGTATCCCTCGTCGAGACGTTCCTCTTCTGCGATCTGAGCAACAAGATTGAAATCTGCAGCAATTTCCTCGTCGGTCTCGTCGTCTTCTTCCTCATCATCTTCTCCCTCCCCAAGCTTTTCTGATCCCTCTGCATCGTCTTCATTACCGATGCTTTCACCCCCACTTTCTTACCGTTCTAGGCTATCCTCAACTGACCGGATATCTTCTTCTCGGATATCCGAAGCTTCATGCCCAGGGTCATCAATTTCTTCATCAACAGAGGGTCTACTGCTTTCACCAACCTCATGTTGGTAACTGGTATGTTTGTTCTCGACATCCTGTCAATATTAGTGCCGTATTGATTAAATAAATCCAAATTTGACCTTAAATGATAACGAACGCTAATAGGCTCAACATCGGCAATCTCTATGTCCTCTGGAATATCGGGGTTGGTAGGACGCAAAGCCTTCTCGGCGTCAGCCAGAAACTTATGACGGTAATAAGCTTCTCTTTCTTCTACAGAAGTTAAGGGTGTACAGAGTTTAGCCTCATTGGCTTTACCCGTATTTGCATGCATTCCAGAACCAGACATTCACAAATAATGAAATAAACGCAAAATCTACTTAACCACAAACCAGTGAGAAATCGAAAAGAAAGTTAGGGTTTTTTACCTCTTTTTGAACTCAACTCTTGAAAGCGTAACTCAGGAATTAAGTGTCCTCCGTTTACAAACACCGGTCACAACACAACTGAACAAACCTTTGACAAATCGACCCATGAATCGCAGAAATATATGCGTACTACGAGCGAAATGAAGTAGAAATTTTTCGAAATTTTTTCGCGAAGGAAATGAAGGGTCAAAAATACGAAATTCGCTATTTATACTGTCCAAATGAAGCGGTTGATGTGACATTTACTGCATGCAATCCAACGGTTGTAATAAAACGCCTTTTCAAAAACATCCTACTTCGATGACTGACACGTGCCCCATTACTTTATTACATTTTCCCGCCAAATCCTGGGGAATAAATTTTCAAATAAGTGTGAAATCGTTTTAACTCCTATTTTCGGTTTTAGTATTTAATTGAGCAAAGTCCTATCGGCAATTTGCTCACTTGGGGGGCAAATCGTAGATATTTTCGTCTTAAATTGAGCAAAGTCCTATCGGCAATTTGCTCACTTAGGGGGCAATCGTAGATTTTTTCGTCTTAAATTGAGAAAAGTCCTATCGGCAATTTGCTCACTTGGGGGGCAAATCGTAGATTTTTTCGTCTTAAATTGAGCAAAGTCCTATCGGCAATTTGCTCACTTGGGGGGCAATCGTAGATTTTTTCGTCTTAAATTGAGCAAAGTCCTATCGGCAATTTGCTCACTTGGAGGGCAAATCGTAGATTTTTTCATCTTAAATTGAGCAAAGTCCTATCGCCAATTTGCTCACTTGGGGGGCAAATCGTAGATTTTTTCGTTTTCTGATCGTTCCTGTATGATATATTGTGTACTAGCACCATGTTCCACAACAAGAGAGCACGTCAGTTTTACTAACGTCCTCACTTGGGGGGCTAGTTGTACGGGATATACCGGTAGCATCTATAATATGCCGGTAAAAGAGTGTCGTGCAGTTTAAAGCCCTCGTTAATCATTGAATACCTTATGCCCTTACCGGCATCAGTCGCTACCACGTGGAGAGCTGCTTCTCGGAACGTGGCATGTCCCTCTGACACATGGAGAGTTGCTTGGTGCCGCGTAGGCACCTGCTATATACAAGGTCGGTGTGCCACCTATTTGTATAGGTGGAACCTGCTTGGTTGTGTTCCTATAAATACCCAAGCAAATCCTCATTTCAAAGGTAGAATCTCTCTCTCTCTCTCTCTCTCTCTCTCTCTCTAAAAACACTTTCTCTCTCTTCTTTCACTTTCTTCACACAAAGGTACTGACTTTAGCATCGGAGTTGTTATTCCCGGATAACCCCCGGGCTAGCTAATCTGTATTGGCTGTGTAGGTGAGCAATTGGACGGTAAACCATTACCAGCCCTCAGACATTAACAGAAGCAGAATCCAGCAGGAACACCGCCGTTGTTGGTATAGACTCCATTTTTATGTTATCTCTCAATTTCTACAAGTTCTAGTATTAATTTTCTTTGCATATCTTGTTCAAAATTTCCATATTATTTATATCCACTTCTTATGCTGTTACATAGAGTATCTGGACTATTAGTCTGTAACAAAATTGCAATTTTTATCGAGTGGATAAGCTCACGTAGTCACGTGCTTCACATATTGTTTGAATTGCGAGTTACATGACCATGTTACTTGTTTTCATGATTACGACTCCCTTCTTTCATTTTTGTTCCATTGATATTTTTTGGGTCAAACTTTAATCTCCCTTCGTTTTTAAATACTACTTGCTCCACTTTTTTCTTTTCGGTCATTTTTAAGTACTTGTTCCGTTTTATTATTTGGAAATCTTTTATACTACCTCAGGTTCACTTTACTAGCAACTTTGAGGGGGTTTGCGGAGGCCGAGACAAAACTTTTAAGGGGTGAATTAGAAAAAGTAAGGGTATGTAATTAGGAGATAAAATTGGAGGGAATACTTGTGGTCCCATTTTGTTGACTTTTGTAAGGGCTTGTACTTTTGTGAAATAAGTGGGAGATTCCCACCCTTTTTGTTGGCAGCTTAAGCAATAAGTGGGAAAATTTTTTGGGCAGCTTGTTTCCCTCCCAAAATCCAAATTTCAAATGTTTAATCAAATTCCCCCAAATTTTAAATTTTTCCATTAAATTCAAACAAAAGGCTCTATATAAAACCAGGGCTTCCCTTCCAATTCTCTATTTTCAAAAGATAAGTTTTAAGAGAATTGGGGAGGGGGGAGAATTAATCAAGTAACATCACCACAGAAATTAGTTTTAGTAAGTCCAAAATACAGGCAGCCCTAACAAATTACAAGCATCTAAAATTTGATTAGTTAATCCTAATTCCTAAAGCTGTGTTAGTAGATGCAGCTTCAATAATTACAGGAATAGGCTCCGTTGAAGACCGTCCAAAAACCACCAGCCGCCACTTCATCACCAAAAAGCAATCCTGAAAATTTTTCAAAAGAGAAGGGACTCATGGCAGAGTTCATACACGAACTTATGGATGAGTTAATGCAACAAGACCAGCTCATGGAAGATGAATTCATCGAACAACAATTCAACCAAGAAGAGTATCAAGGGTCATCTGATTCAGACCATGAACAAGACCAACATCATGAAGGTAATGATGCTGATGGGTATGATGCAGATGATGATGCAAACTAAGAAGAGCTACAACACAATTTCAGACCAACAAGAGAGATGACAGTAGAACAGAAAAGAGCAATTGTTGAGGAGATTATGTTGCACATGGAGGAAGACTCGCTGCCAAGAGGCTTTTTAGCCAATTTGGCAAGAAAACATTCAGTGCACAAATCTACAACAACAAGATGGTTTCAGGTAATAAAACACTCTCTAGCTCAAGGTATTGTTGTTGATATTAATACAAAAAATTAGGCAGGACAAGACGCAAAGAAAAACAATACACAAATGAGTTTCTGACATCTGTACCATTGTACAAAAGAACAACTGAAAGGGGATATGCTGGTGCACTGAAAATACCCAAAACAGCATTGCATAGGCTAAGGCAGCAAGGCAGACTGAGAACACACACAAGCACAAATCACCCAACATTGACAGAGAAGCACAAAGTGTCAAGACTTAAATGGGTTTTAAGTCTATTAAATCATGTACCAACGGTAGGGGACCCAACATTTAGTGATATGCAGCAATGGATACATTTAGATGAGAAATTGTTCTACATTAATCCAAAAACAAGAACCTTTTACCTACTGCCAACAGAAGATGATCCATACAGGGCTCAACAATCAAGGAAGTTCACGATCAAAGCAATTTTTATGGGAATGATAGGTAAACCATTGTTTGATGCTGAAAACAACATGATACATGATGGAAAATATGATCTTTTTCCTTTTGTAAAGTATGAAAGAGCCAAAAAGAAAAGCAAGAACAGAGATGCAGGGACTCTAGAGACAAAGGCAATTCAAAGTGTCACAAAAGAGTGCATAAGGGAGATGCTACTAACGCATGTTATCCCAACAATCTATGAAAAATGGCCACAACAGTTGCCAAAGGACATCATCATCCAATGGGATAATGCTAGGCCTCATCAGGTACCAAAGGATGAAGAATTTGAAGCAGCTTGTCATGCACATGGGTTCAACATTCAATTTATATTCCAACCAACTCAGTCACCAGAAACAAATGTTTCAGATTTAGGGTTGTTTAGTGTCATTCAATCATTACAATATCAATCTTTTCCAAGGAATTTAGATGACTTAATCAAGGAAGTGGCTAGAGCATTTCAAGAATATGATCATATACTAAACAAGTACACATGGATCACACTTCAATCCTGCCTTATTAAGATTCTGGAAAAGCAAGGTGGTAATAACTTCTCTCCCCCACACATGAAGAAGAGAAGCTTGGACAGCCAAGGACTACTACCACAACTACTTGAAGTAGACAGGGATCTAATTGGTCAGGTTGTCCATTATTTGGACATAGTCACAATTACAGGAGATGATGAAGGGCACATGGAAGTAGATGCAGACTGATAACTTTGTCTTACTTTTGGAAGGCTAGTATTAGGGGACTCATAATTGACTTCCACATATAACCTTTTCCTATTCAAACAACTTTTTGTGTTAGATTATGTGTAGGTTATGTGTACTTTTGCAAGATACAACTTGTTTATTTTTTTGGCAGTCATGTAATCAGTCAAGGTCAAATATTTTGATTTAACAAACATTTACATGTTTTATTCTGTATTTGTTTCATTTTTAGAGCCTATTATTTCCATTAGAAGGGTTGTGTTTTCAGTCAAAGCTTTAGTGAGTGTTGGTACCTCAACATAAACCTTTTTGACAAGGTTTATGGAGCATCCAAACCACCCAAGTAGTTATCAGATGAGTCCCATCATCATATGGAAAACCAAAAGGGATATGCATGATAAAAAAAAAGGGACTCAACGCATTAAAGGCAGAAGACAAAGGTCACAAATGAACATTTCCATGGCAAGTAGGTGAAGGTTGACAAAAGAAGCAGGGGACTCAATCTCAACAACAAGAATCTACCAATCAATTGTGAATTCCACCAATGCAACAAACATATAGGCAAATGAACTACTCCAACAAATGCAAACACCACCATACCAAAACAAAAATCAACTTCTATCAAACATCCTACAATTCCTGAAAATACCAGTGTTATCACAGTTACCAAATCAAGTACTAGCAAACAACACCATCCCAAAACATAAATCAAATTCAATCAAACAACATACATGTCCAAAAATACCAGTATTTTAACAAACAGAAACCAACTTCTATCAGCCACCACCATCCCAAAACAGAGAGGCTAACAAAAATTACTACACACAGTTACTCCAACAGTCATGCATCAACTTATCATGTAACTAAAATCACAGTAATTTCCCAAAATTAACTACTCACACAATCAGCAACAACAACCCACCACACAACTTGTAAACAACTAATTGCACGGTACAAGCACAAAAGGAGAAGCTCATAAATAAATTAGGGTTTATAGAGTATACGCTGCGCATTCAATTACGAGGGGGGTTGAACTGAGGGTAGTAGATCTGCAGGAAAGCCTCAATGACTTCCTCCCTCGTCATGCCGTCTGGAGGACCAGATTTGATGTGTTTTGCGCCAGAGGAAGGCCCATCGTCGCGCTCTTGGGACTCCGGTGGCTTAACCACCTCAGAAACCTCCAGATCTACTAGAGTAGACTCCCCTGTAGCAGATCCGGTGGATGAAACCTCCACCTCAGTCACTGGAGACCTAGAACCGCCAGCAGAAACAACCGCAGCAACCACGGAACCCTCACCAGCAGGAACCACCTCAGACGGTGGTTCATCACGTGCCAAAGCCTCAGAGACCACCAGATTCAGCGGCTCCTCATCGCTGTCATAGTCAGCGGGTTTCGCACCACGGATCCGCCTCCTCGCAATCACAGAAGCACGACAAATGGGTTTCATCACACTCGTTCCACGGCTGGGTTTGTAGGTAACGCTACCAGATCGGCGACTGGAAGCACTTGTTTCAAGGGTTTCATGGCAAGTTAGATCTAGGTTTTTGTCACTAGGAGAAGCCATTGACAGAGGAATTGAGAGATAACAAACCAAGGAAGACAGAGAGAAAGGGGGGGATGGGATTCAGCGACTGATGAGAGAGAAAGTAACAAGTAGGGTTTATGTGGGAGGGATTTATTCTGGAGATTTCTCCAGAATAAATGAACTCCAACCAATTCATCAGATGAATTGAATGAGGAGCATTCAATTGAGGCAGTTAGGGAGTTGCTGAATTTGAAGGGTTGGGGTATAATTTTGGTGGGAATGATTAATTTAATTAATCAGTTTTGTTTTTTAATCTGATAAGGTTAGTAATGTAACAAAGTTGAATTATTATAAAAATAAGGGTACAATGGTAAAATTACATAAAAAAAACTTTACTAAAAAAGGAAAGAAATGGGAAAGTTGCAAGTAATTTGGACCACCCCAAAAAGGAAATAGTTGCGAGTAAAGTGGACCGGAGGTAGTAATATTTAATTCATTTCTCTTACCTAGATCCAACATAAATCATATTTTATTAATTTCATATTCTCTCTTTCAATTTTCTCAATTACTTTTGCTTTTTACAATTTTTTATTCTTTCACTTACTCCATTGCTGGGTGGGGGGAGGCCGTTGCTGCCGGTGTCGGGGAATTATGAGGTCGTTGGCCTTCAGCGGCCTAGCAGGGGAGGGGGTGAGTTGGCAAAGAAGGGTGAAGGTTGGGGTTTTTTTCCTTTTTTTTTTTGAACTTTATAATTATTAGATTTTTAAATAATTAATCATATAATAATTCCTAATTAGAAAAATGACAAATCACATTCTAACATGTGTCACAATTAACCTTAATAATCGGTTACAACATGTTTTGACTCATTTAAAGTAGATACCCTATAAAGGTTGGATTATTTTGAGTTAATTGAATGGTTGACTTATTTTGAGTGAACAGGGCAAATGTTGGCTTATTCTTGACAAATATTCCTATTACCTCCGGTCTAAATTACTCGCAACTTTGGGGTATTATTTGTGAGATATAAAATATTCCAAAGTTGCGAGTATTTTGAACCGAAAGTAGTATATACAATTGGCGTGTCAATTATATGGTCCACATGTTATAAACAAGCTCTGATATTTTTTTTTTCTTTTTCTTTTTGTTTGTGTTATTTTTTCTTTATTTTGGTTTTTTTAGGTCTATAATAACTCTTTCTTTTTTTTTGAAGGGACGTCGTTTCTTTATCGAATAATGACAAGGCTTTTCATTATCTTTATTAGGATGATTTTAAGCTTATGAAAGACCAAGTTCTTCTTATCTCTTTTGAGGGAGGATTTTTTTTGCTTAATGGATTGCTACATGTTGTGATGTGTCCAAATTATCAAATGAAACGCTTAGGCATGCCAAAATAGGCCAGAGCATGGGTTACGTGAGATAGGTACCCAATTTAAATTTCTATCAAAAATAAATAAATTATTAATGATATATGAATTCATATCCGAAAATTTTAGAAATCTGATATACAAAAACTATTAGATCGAGTAATTTGGATATCCAACATTCGTAGTTTATTTAAAGGTAATATGTATTACATTAATGAAAACTAGCAATGCTAAGGATTTTTTTTTTTACATAACTCAAAGACTATTATATAATTAAACTAACTTTAGTAAGATCAATTGACACACAACTGTTCACATTTTTAAATTTATAAAATAAAAATATACTATGTAAGATTAATTTTTGTAAGTATTTTATATGTATAAATAATTATTTTCAAATGATATGGAGTATTAGGATATGTTCATATTTACTGAACTGAACTGATTGGAGCTGAACTGAACTGAACTGAATTGAACTGAACTGATTAGAGCTGAACTGAACTGAACTAAGCTAAAATGAATATTTTATGAGAGAGGGAAATTAAGAGCTGAACTGAACTGATTGGAGCTGAACTGAACTGAATTGAAAATAAGTAAATATGAACAGGCCCTTAGTTTATTCATTTTGTTTATTTTTTTAGATCCCAAGTTTTTTTTTATCATGCGTTGAATTGTTTATATTTCCAACTCTTTATTTTTGTAATGTAAAGGGGTAATTTCATTGTCATTGATAGTTAATGAATTATATTACTTTATGCATATTTTACGATAAGATTGGAAATTTTGTTAATTACGTACAGCCATTTAAAGTTTGCAATTTTTTTTAAAAAAAAATTTGCAAATTGCAGCCCAAAAGTACTAATAGATGGTAAATTACAACCCAATTTAATATTTTCACCGATTTGCGTGTCGAAAAATGTTACATTAAGATTTTAGTGATATTTTAACCCTTAAGCCTCTAAATTGAGCTCGAAATTGTCAAAAAAAAAAAAAATAGCACAAGTGCAATTTGCAATTTTTTTTAATCGAAATATTGTGGTTCGGTTTCGATTTGGGCAATAAACAAGCCGAAAACCGAATTTTCAACCCTAAACATGAATGACTCAGTTGGACCCTTGGACCTGAGTAGTATAATCCGGAGTATTTAATTTCACTCAATGCATTACTATATATATATATATATATATATATATATATATATATATATATATATATATATATATATATATATATATAATATTTCACCCGGTTCACCCTTTGGGCTAATCCGAATTCAGGGATCAGTTTTGGGTAGTTAGGTTCTAGTCCCCTCCCCAATCATTACATATGATAGAATATCGGCCACCATGCCTCACAAGCTTGCACCTCGCTCCACTCCTTGTGTCGTCTTAGGCTACCCTTCCGACCATAGGGGATATAGGTGTTTGGATATCAACACAAATAAAATCATAATTTCTCGCCATGTCACTTTCGCTGAAAGTACCTTTCCTTTCAAAAATATCACCAATTTTAAATCGAATGATTATGATTTTTTAGCCCTTGATGATCCTTCACCATTATTGCAACATCATTATCTGCAAACCCAGATGCGTCAAAATGGGCAGCCCACACCTCAGGGGCATACAAATGGGCTGCGAACCTTGCTGCCACAAAGCAGCCCATCTGGCGCTGGAAATCCAGCGGGCCAGACAGAAGCCCAGCAGGGCAGCCCCCCTCACCCAGTGCCCAATGGGTCACCTACGGCCCACCAGCCCAGTCCCGAGCCTCACACTCCCCTGAGCCCACTGAATCAGCCCAGCAACCAAATACAACCCAATCCACCTCCTTTTACACGCACCACACCCACATACACACCACCTCTAAACCTGGGCACCGTGCCGGGCCGGGCCGCCGCGGGCCGTGCCTGGCGGGCCACGGGCTGGTTCGTGACGTGCCCGTCGTGCCGGCGGGCCCAGGATTTCGTGTCGTGCCGTGCCGGCCATTTTCACAGGCCAGCCCACGGCACGGCACGGCCCTCGTGCCTGGCGGGCTCGTGCCGTGCCGGCCACGTGCCGGCCTGCGGGCTGGTGCAGTTTTCAAATATATATATATATATATATATATATATATATTTTTTTTTTATTTTTTTTTTTATATGACAACATTATAAATTAATAAGTTTATAATGTATATAATTTATAAAATTATAATTATAAGTTTTATAAGGTTATAACTTATAAGTTTATAACTTATAAGTTATAAGTTATTAAGTTATGAATTTTATAATTATAAGTTGAATATTTATGTTTTATAATTTGTATATTCAATATTTATATTTATATATTTACTTTATACTATTACTTTAAAATTTAATGTTTATGATTTATTAGTAATTGGTATAATTTTATTTTTTTTTAATATGAATTTACAAATTGTAACAAAACGGGGAAAAAAGGCAAATTGGACTTTGAATGTGAATAATGCGTACTTTATATTATTATTACTTGAGTTGAGAAAATTGTACAATGATAACAATGATAAAAATCATACAATGATGGTATTAAACAAAAATTGGAAAATGATAAAATTGATATTTTTAAAATCGTACAATATACAATAATTGTCTATTCTTCTTCTCTTTCTTCTTGCTCGTCTTCGTCTTCGTCTTCGTCTTCGCCTTCGCCTTCAAGGTCATCGGCTAGTTGCATAGATTGGGAACTAGCCGAACCCGAACCGGAAGCGGAGGTTCCTTCTTCGTTGTCGTTGTGGTCGTAAGAACGGTCTTGTGAGCGATTTTCCGCATCCAACCAATCTTTGAAACACACGCACATTTCTAGTGTTTCGGGTTTTAGACTTGTTCTTCTATCGTCTAAAACCCTTCCGGATGCGCTGAAAGCTCGTTCGGAGGCGACGGAGGAAACTTGGATAGTAAGAATGTCTCGTGCCATTGCCGCCAAAGTTGGATGCTTCGAGCTTTGTTGTTTCCACCATGCAAGGAGGTCGAGGCTGTTTATCTCATCGTCGTCCATGCCTTTGGTGAAGTCGTAACTCAGGTACATCTGCAACTCTGAGACGTCGCTTTGCGTTCTCCTGATTGATGAATCACCTGAAAACCTTGAAATCAAGTTAGTAGCTTGTGAAAATAAATGTTTGGCCTTCTTACTTACGTTTTTGGATGGTTGGGAAGGCCCTGAGCGAGGAACGGTGCCATATTTGGCTTCATAGACTCTATATAAAGCAAAAAACTGATCCTTCAAATTAGTCTTATAGTTTTCTACATCATCGTCAAGAAACATGCATTGAAAGTAAATGTCAACTAACATAAATGTGTTTTCATACTTTTGCCTAGGATCTAATATGGAAGCAAAAATATAAATCAAAGGAATCTCACTATAATATTTACGCCACTTTTTTTCCATTGCTGGAAGATACTGATCATAATCGCTTTGATGGCGATGATCAGCGAAAAGTTGGGCGAGTAAGCATGCATTAGAAAGAAAGTTTTGAGCACAAGGATTGTAAACAGTAGAAAAACAATACGTCGTGTTATATAATAACTGTAAAAATTGCATATATCTTTCACAGTTATTCCAATCATCATCATACAAAGCATTTTGTGGAAATTTTTGGTTGTAAAATAATGTTAACGGACCCTTGTACTCAATTGCCTTTGTTAACATGTCATAGGTGGAATTCCACCTAGTTGGGAAATCGGTTTTAATTTTTATTACCCTTATCTTTTGTTGTTTTAGAAAACTCTTCCGTTCTTGGTATCTCATGTTAGAGCTATTAATAGACATAATAGCATCTCTGATTTTGCTGTAGTATGGGCCAATTTCCCGAACTCCATCCTGTACACATAAGTTAAGTACATGGCAAACACATCTAGTATGAAGAGCTTCACCGTCTAATAGTACATCGGTTAAGTTTTGTTTGATAAGATTAGTTGTGTATGTCATAGAGGTTGCATTATCAAAAGTCATAGACATCATTTTATCTCGAAGGTTGTATTCGTCTATTGCTTGCATTAAATGGTGAGCAATGTTAATGTCGGTGTGTGGGTATTCCAGCATTTTGAAATGTATTATTCTTTTTTGTAACATCCATTGATCATCTACCCAATGGCAAGTCACACATAAATAGTGATATTTATAACCACTATCCCAAGAATCGGATGTTAAAGATACTCTACAGTTAAGGTTACTCAATTCGGCTTGTAACCGGACTTTGTACTCTAGGAAATTTTTCATTGCGGCGGAACGAACGGTTTTCCTAGAGATTCTTTTATGTTGGGGTTGTAGTGCTTTGTTAATGTAGGTGTTGAATGCGTCACTTTCCGAGAAAAGAAAAGGTTGTTCGGCGTGTACTATCATTTTTCCTAGTTCATCCCTATCCCTCTCATAGTTGTATGTAAAGCCGTATGGATGGAATTGGGAAATTTTGGGCTGGGTTGGATCACTAGCTGGTTTTGCACAAGCTTTCATGTGTCTAGATAAGTGTCCAGTCCCGTTTTTGGTAACTGCCGTGAATACACTATTACATGTTTTACATTTTGCCCATTGTTCACCATCTTTACTTAGGACAAAATAACGTCATACCTCACTCCTTCGGTTTTTCAAAAGTAGCATCTCAGTTTCGGTTAACCATTCATGACGTGTGTGATGGTTAGTAGTGGGACTAGTGGGAGTGGCAGTAGAAGGGGTAGAACCGGAGGGAATTCGGGTACTTTCTTGGCTACCTTGGCTAGAACAATAGTTTTGTTGATCACCGATATAATTAGGTGGAAATTGGTATGGTGGTAGTGGAAATTGGTTTAGTGGTGGTGCTGGAAATCCCGACGTATTATATGGCTCATAGCCCGGGGGGAAGTAAATGGGGTCATTGGTTTGACTCGTAATTTGGGGGCTCGTTGTATTTGGTGGTTCCCTAGAACTACTACTACGGATAAGTCGGTCTTTCTCCCTAGACCTAGATGATGGGTTGTTCGATGCCATAATTAACAATTAATTTTTTAATAAAAAGTGGTTAACTATAATAATAATAATTAATAACAACAATTTTAACAATAAAAATATCAATAATAATAATTAATAACAACAACTATAACAATAACAATAACAACAAAAATAAATAATAACAACAATTGTAACAATAATAATAATTAATAACAACAATTATAACAACAACAATAACAATTAACAACAATAATAATTAAACAAGATTATTCTAATAATAACAATAAAACAATAATAAATTTAAGATTAGTTTAGATCTTACAACCGTGCTTCAACGCTCCACTAATTACGATTACGAACTTTTTAATTTTTTCCGATATTAGGAAAATAATTAGAGAATTTAAGAGAATAATTAGAGAATTTAAAAAAATAAGGATTATTAGAGATTTAGATAATATAAGAGATAAGAAGAAGAGATTGTGATTTTGTGATTTGGGAATGAAATGGAGGTGAGTATTTATAGAATTTTTGGGGAGCAAATTGGCAAAAAACTAGCCGTTTTTTAGCCGTTTTTTTGGCTTATTAAGGAGCTAGAATAAACGGTAACATTACCGTTGGCCTGCGGGCCGTGCCTGCGGGCCAGCACGACGGGCCATGCCCGTGCTCGTGCCGGGCCGTGCCTGGGAATTCTCAACCCTGTCCGTGGCACGGCCCGTGGCACGGGAGTTGAACTTCGTGCCGTGCCGTGCTTGAATTCGGGTCGTGCCGGGCTGCGCCGAACGGCGGGCCGTGCCGGGCGGCACGCGGGCCAACCCGGCCCGTGCCCAGGTTTAACCACCTCCACTTCGTGGCATACCCCAAATAATTCCAACCTCACCACTACCCTTATCTCCACAAATGCAAACTAGGTCCAAGCATGGGATTTCCAAACCCAATCCAAAGTATGGCTTATCTGCCATCGTCCGTTCCCCGCTTCCTAAAAATCACAAGCAAGCCCTTTCCGACCCAAATTGAAATGATGCGATGCGCGATGAATATAGTGCTTTAATTGAAACGGGGACATGGGAATTGGTTCCTAGGCCTACGGGGGTGAACATTGCTAATTGTATGTGGTTATATCGTCATAAATTGAAAGCTAATGGTGATCTTGAAAGACACAAAACTCGTTTAGTTTGTGATGGCAGGTCTCAGATTGAAGGTGTTGACTGTGATGAGACGTTTAGTCCGGTTGTTAAGCCGGCTACTATTCGAACAGTGTTGAGTTTGGCTATGGCTCGTAAGTGGTCTATTCATCAACTTGATGTTAAAAATGCCTTTTTACATGGTGATTTAAATGAGTGTGTTTATATGCATCAACCCCCTGGTTTTGTTGATAAGAGATTTCCAAGTTATGTTTGCAGACTTCGCAAGGCTCTATATGGCCTCAAACAAGCTCCGAGAGCTTGATACCAACGATTTGCTAATTATCTTTTGCAGATGGGGTTTGCATTGCTAAAATGGATAATTCCTTATTTATTTTCCGACATGGGAAAGACATGGCATATTTACTTCTATATGTTGATGATATTGTGTTGGTTACATCCTCAGATAAAATACGTGAGAGTATTATCACTCACTTACGGAAAGGGTTTCCGATGACTAACTTAGGTCCTTTGAATTATTTTCTGGGTATTGCTGTTACTCGTACTCCTTCTTACTTGTTTATGTCACAGCAAAAATATGCACAGGAAATTCTTGAGCATGCAAGTATGAGCAGTTGTAAACCTACACAAACTCCAGTGGATACTCAATCCAAACTCAGTGCAGACGCTGGACCTAAGTTTCATGATCCAACACTCTATCGTAGTCTTGCAGGTGCATTACAGTACCTCACTTTTACTCGTCCTGATATAGCTTATGCAGTTCAGCAGGTCTGTCTATTTATGCATGATCCCAGAGTGGCTCATTATGATGCATTAAAACGGATTCTGCGATATATTCAGGGTACCATTGATCATGGGTTACATTTATATCCTTCGGCTCCTAAAAACTTGATAACTTATACTGACGCAGATTGGGGCGGGTGTCCTGACACTCTACGCTCCACTTCCGGTTACTGTTGTTTTTTGGGTGACAATCTTATTTCTTGGTCGTCTAAGCGTCAGCCTACTCTTTCTAAGTCAAGTGCAGAGGCAGAATACAGAGGCGTTGCAAATGTTGTTTCTGAGGCTTGTTGGCTTTGTAATCTTTTACTAGAGCTACACTGTCCTCTCCGGCAGGCCACTCTTGTTTATTGTGATAATGTCAGTGCAATTTATTTATCTCATAATCCCGTACAGCACCAACGCACCAAACATGTTGAAATGGACATTCATTTCGTTCGAGAAAAGGTGGCGTTGGGGCATGTGCGGGTCTTACACGTTCCTTCCTGGTATCAGTTTGCAGATATTTTCACAAAAGGCCTACCTCGACAACTATTTGTGGATTTCAGATCCAGTCTTAGCGTACGTCCTCCTCCCGCTACGACTGCGGGGGTGTGATAGAATATAGGATTAATATTCTTGTTATTCTGTTATCGTAGGATATATTTTGTAGATATTTTGTATTTATCTCTTGAGATTTCCTAACAAGATTAGGACTCATACTTGTAACCCTATATATATTGATTAATGGAATACACTCCAATCTGAGGAGTTTACAGTATCTAACAACATATATAACTATATAAGAGAGTACATTTAAATTAAAAAAAAAATAAAAAAAAGCACACAACAGACCTGCACCAAACCTAACATACAAACCAAACATGAAACATAAGAACACAATAAATTGCACATAAACATAACTGTCGTTGAAGTGATGATATATTACATCATACACAAGATGACCTCGTTCCTAAATCAATTATATCTAGTATTGCGAGTTCGTCAACATTTTAAGTAGCAACATTCATGAAGCTTTCCTTTTCAATAAGAGTAAATCTCTTACAAAACCAAGTTTTGGACATGTTGAGTAGTGCAATGACGTTAACGTCACGCACAACAGCCCTAAACATCGCACCAGTGTTGCTACTACCGCGAGGATCACTTGCATCAACTACAATCCAATCATCGTCACCAATCCTCCAAAACTTTCCAACATGACTCGATTTTATGCGAAGTGTACCATCAGGAGCTTCGAACAACTCTTGGGCTACATCAACCACAACCCATCCAGGAGGAATAAATTAAAGTCAACCAAATTACAAGAAATTAGTGGAAAGTCAATATACAATTTGGACCCCCACTTCTCTAGTTATAGAAAATCTTATCCTAGTGAAAATATGAGCAGCAACACATGCCCAAGTGTCTTGAGTCTTCGAAAACTTTTGGATCCGCTTTAGCAACGCAACCGCCTCCTTCTCTAAATCCCGAAGAGAAGAGATAGAAAAAGGAAGGAAACCATACCTAAAGTAATAGCTTGACAACTAGCTTCATACTTGACCCGCTTACGATGAGCCGCATCAATCACAACCCTCCCAGGTGCGAAGTCAGACAACTCAATCTGAGTCAAAGGAGAAAACCCAGTAAAGTCAACACACATATCGCGACCTTGTTCTCAAGAGTAAAGCAACACATCTGCAGGTCTTAGGGCCCCATCTTTCCCTCTGACAACCCAATGTCAACCTCTTTTCTTGCTGAAATCCCAGACATATAGCATACATTAAGAAGAGTATCCCGAACAACATTATGGCGATGTTTAATACCCACCATACCAACACATGACACCGCATAATCCTTAAAAATATCCCCAACAATAACCTTAGAGCAAGTAGAGTACAGTGTCAAAATAGAGAATAAAAGAACACCCAATTGATAACACAACACACTACGATATGTCAGTGTTCATCGTCTAATCCAGACCAGAAATAGGGACCACACAAAGCCAAGTTGAGGTGTGTTCTCGTTGATGAGATTTCTAAAAAGCTGACTGACGAGGAGATAAAAATGTGGATATTGCAGAAGCAGCAACCTTTGTGAAATATATATCCGTCAATTTCTTCATAAATTTTAAGGCAGCGACCTGACTAGGATTACTAAAAATTTCACACTCTACAATTTTATTAAATAGACCCGCCGCCTCATAAAAGACACGACCAGGACCAACAATACCAGTACGCTGTAGAAGTTGAGTCTGCAAGCCAGCCGATTGCAAACAAGAAGTTAAGCAAGAAAAGCATAATGCCTAATATCACTCACAGAATAAACACCAAGCCCTCCAAAAGCAAATGTCGCCACTGCCAATCGCTAAATCTCGGTCCCAAAGCAATGACAATATGCTCCAAATTTTGGTAATATTGTTAGAGACGTGTAGGACTTTATTGTAATCCAATTTAAGAAAGAATACCATTAAACTTTCTAATTTATAAGTAATACTATATTTTATACTTCAAAATTAAATAAAGTTGTTGTTATATATTAATAAATTTGAACTTTCTAATTTATAAGTAATACTATATTTTATACTTCAAAATTAAATAAAGTTGTTGTTATAAATTAATAAATTTGAACTTTCTAATTTAAGTATAAAAATATTAATTCATTTATTTAAATTGCAGCAAATGAGGCATTAGAGAGAGCTGCATTTTATGGGCTGGAGCCCAATATAATAGTTTATCTAATATGGGTTGCGTTGAAATTGGAAATGGCAACTGTACAAATTCTTACATAGACCCTGGTCCACCTATCCTATGTGGACCAGGTATTAAACGCACTCTTCTCTTAATTAAACACAACTTCACCTTGTTCTTCAAATCCCGCCATTTTAACTTTTTTTTCCCTTTTTTTTATAAGATCCCTGTTCCCTATTTAATCTGATTTTTTTTACTTCTTTTTCGATCATAATTTAGATCCACAACATTGTCAATGAAATCATCAACATTATCTCTTCTTTTTCTTTTTTTTTTTTCTTTTTAATTTCACTCTTCTGAACTTCCTCTCTCTTCTTCTGAACATTTTCTTGCTTCTTCTTAACCTTAGCTTCTTCTTTTGAGACTCTTTCTTAGCCTTCTTTTGAGCTTCCTTTTTAGCTTGATCCTCAGGCTCCTTTTGAGTTTCCTTTTTAGCTTGATTCTCAGCCTCCTTTTGAGCTTGATTCTCAGCTTCTTGGATTGGTGTTGGGTGGTGGATTTGGGTTGAAGTTCATATTGGTTGCTGCAATAAAACAAATGCTTCTTGGATTAAAAAATAACAATATCAAAATTTGAACAGGAATCACAAATTATATGAACTAAAACCATGAAACATTTGAACCATAATAACAAATTATATGAACTAAAATCACAAAATATTTGAACATTAATCACAAATTATATGAACTAGAACCACAATATATTTGAACAGTAATCACGAATTATATGAACTAAAAACACAAAATATTTGAACTTATAAAATAAATGCTTCTTAGTTTAAAAAATAACAATATCAATTTTTGAACAGTAATTACGAAATATATGAACTAAAACCACAAAATATTTGCAGGTAATCACATATTATATGAACTAAAACCACAAATCATTTGAACAGCAATCACGAATTATATGAACTAAAAACACAAAATATTTGAACCTATTTACCTTGTTTCTCCATTTTCTGAATGTTACTTTATCTCTTTTAAAATCTTTGGATCAACAATTTGACTTGTTATATCCAATTTCTTCTTCCTTTTGTTTCGGATTTGAGAAATTGTCATGTTCAAATAACTTAGGGTTTCAATTCATCATTTAATTTCAAAATTCAAAAATTATATAGGGTTTTAATTTACTTAAAATTTATCTTCATCACTATTAGAAGAATTTGGGTCCCTAAAAATGTGAAAATTGTTCAGAAAATTATATTCAATTTTAAAAAACTACGAATGAAATTTTAACAAATTATAACAACTACGAACGAGTAATTGCAAATTCAAAGAAATTTAAAGAAAGTATAGATTCGGAAATTTTATTTACCTTCTGCACTGGTTTCTTGTTTTTCATCCATGGTTATGCTCGAATTTGCAAAGGAGAGAGAAACGAGAATTTTTCAGCCTTTGAAAGAGTGAATGTTCATATTTAATGTTATGTCAGTTTTGTTGGAGTGGAAAGAAAGAAACGAGAGTTTGGGCCGCGTTATTTGTTGTTTTGTTTTTGCTGGTGGATTGTATTTAGGCTGGTGGTCTACCTCTTTTAGATGGACCAGGGTCTACCATAGACCTATTGGTTCTAACTTTCCTCACAGTGATCTAAAACGATCGAGAATATGTGTCCTAAAACGCTAATTCCTACAAAATACAATTAACACTACAATAACACATAGTAGAAGTGCAGAACATATATATTAGTGGTTAAAGTGGTTCTAAAGGAAATAAATAAGCTCAAATAATAAGATCAAGAAACAGGGGTAAAATCATTATATAAATTAGAAACATCACGTACAATCGATTCTGAGTGCAATTATCTTGTCCCTAAACATGTATCACCACCTCCAAAAATGATACACGGGACCTAGTGCATCTTGTAACCATTTATTGTTGAAATTGAAAACTTAAATTGTACATAACCATTTATTGAAGAGATGATACAGAGTACATATATGTTTTTTTTTTTTTTTTTTTTTTTGGCAGAGGTTACAATTTAAAACACAAAGAAACAACTAAGCCCGCTACTATTACCCTATGACCATATCACGGGCTACAGATTCCATTAGAACGCTATTACATATATATATATATATATTCAAGAAGGGATGAGAGAGTACATATATGTAATAACCATATTTGTTGTAGCCAAGCCTAACAACTTGGTTATGGACATTTCTTTGGTTCAAGACGTAGCATCATGTATTGGTGCTATGCATTCTATCCTTGGGCAGCAAGATATTCAACCCCTTGAATTTCTTGTTGTTCTTATTAACTAGTTTATTTTAGTTCTTTTTATGCTTTGAATAAATTGTAAACTTTAGTCATTTTAAGTTTGCAAATTAGTTATATTTTTTCTTAGTTCTTTTTATCTGATTTTAGTTCGAAAACTATTGTCACATTCACACAAAAGTACAAGTACAAAGATACATCAATATGGCAGCCATTTAAGCTTGGAATCCGAAATTCTTTTACAAGGAATTTCAAAGCTTTGACTTGGGAGTTACAATCAGTTTTCAAAGAGGAATTACAAGCCATTACAAGCCTTAACTTCAGCCTTCAAGTGGCCGTTGATATCAGTCAACATTGGAGCATCTTAAGCCTTAATTTCAGCCTTCAATTGGCTGTTTAATTCAGTCAGCTTTTGGAGCAACTAAAGGGCGTCCAAGTACACCCTTGTCCACATACATTCAAGCTAATTTCAAGGCTTAAACCAAGGAGGAGTTACACTTCTTTGCTGTTTGAATTTGGGCGTGAAAATTGGAGGAAATACATCTCCAACTTGCTGCTTGGATGGGCGTGAATTAAGGGGGAGTTACACTCTCTTAATTCTGATTTTATTTCAGCCTTAATTTGGAGGTTATAAGCCACCATTTTCTCTTTGATG